CCCCCCCCCCCCCCCTGCGCGCAGCCCATCGCACTCGTTCCCTCGCCGCCCGACGAGGGGCCCCGCGGCGAGAAGGGGGGAGGCACGGCGCGAGAGGAGAGGGGAGGGGAGTGGACGGGGGGGGACCCCCCCCCCCCCCCAAAAAAAACAAAAAACAAAAACCAAAACAAAACAAAACAAACCAAACCAAAACAAAACAAACCAAAGCAGCGCGGCCCAACAAAAACAAAAAAGCAGCAACGCGCGGCACGCACGTGCTGGCCGGCTCCGCGGGCAGCACGCCGCCTGCGCGACGCCGGGACGGGATCCCCCCTCATTGATCGGCCCTCGGGCCTCTCCCGGGGCGCGTTCCGGCCAGGACGCCGACGGGGAGCCCAGCCGAGACGACGAGGGGCGTCCTGGACGATCCCCGGAGAGGACGAAGCAGATACAGCGAGGGCAGTGGCCGAGGAGCCAGCGGACAGGGAGTCCAGAGTCTGGGAGCCGATGGAGCTCCACTCGTCGATCTGCAGTGGACAGCTCACTGCCGCCCTCATCAGATAAGGCACCCCTCAGGGTCTGAAGCCCAGCGCGCCCAGCGACGCCCCTGCTGTATCCAACGACCTCGCCAGAGGAAGGTCGAATACTTGAATTGGCTACACGCAAGAATGACCCTGGGTAGGAGTGACCTTTGGTGCGCGGCGTTTGGAGGGCCCGCGGGGGGACCAAACACAGGCGCACAAGACGCTACTGTCGCGTCGCGTTCGGCGATCGAGGAACCCAAATGGACCCGCCCAAATGGACCGCACCAAAAACACATAACCATAAACTGTTAGAGGTCCGCGCAGATTTCTTGGATCCGCGCTGGGCTGGCGCGCGGAGCGCGCCAGGGGCGGCGCCGGAGGCGCCGCCAGGGGGCCCCAGCGCGGATTCAAGAAAGCCGCGCGGAGCGCCAACAGTTTACGTTTATGGCGCTTTTTGTTCTCCGATCCGAAGGTCGCTCAGGCGATGCGTCACTCTTACGTGTCGTCGAATGATTTAGCAGTGGCGAAGCGTCCTGGCTTCCCTATAAGCCCACCAGAGAGCGTTCTAAGAATATGTTGTGGTCTGCGCGAGATGTTCTTAGAACATGTTTGGCTGAGACTGGCTTGTTTTAACACGTCGGCCTGAGGTTCTAAGAACAGTTTCATTGTTTGGTTCTTCGAACATTTTTGGGTTCTGAGAACATGTCGTGGTAGGCCTATCAGAATGCCGGGACGGTCGGTCCCTGCTCAAAATGCAGGGAGCGCCGCGCCCCTTCTGCGCGCCGCCGGCGTCCACAGGAAGTCCCCACCCTTTCCCCGGGACCGGTTTTTCATCCTCGCCGAGTCGTTTCGCGACGGCCCCGAGGCCTGGGGAGGGCCCCCCGAAGCCGCAAGCGGCGAACAACCTCCGTCCTGATCTTTTTGTAACGACGCGAGCACGTCTGTAGGGGAACAAAAAGTGGCATACACATGAAAACTCGGAGGTCCGCGCGGATTTCTCGGATCGGCGCTGGACCCCCCTCCCTGGCGCGCGGAGCGCGCCAGGGGCGGCGCTGGAGGCGCCGCCAGGGGGCCCCAGCGCCGATCCGAGAAATCCGCGCGGACCTCCGAGTTTTTATGCCACTTTGTGTTTCCCTGGTCTGGGTCCCTCTCACGCGTCGTCGGATGATCGGCTATGCGCAAGAGTGACCCTGGGTAAGAGTGACCTTTGGTGCGCGGCTTTTTGGGGGCCGCGGGGAGACCCAACCTGGGCGCGCAAGCCGCTGCCCCTGCTTCGTTTTCAGCCACCTGGGGGCCCATCTGTGCCCGCACCAAAGGTCACTCCGGCGAAAGGTCCCTCTCACGCGTCGTCGGATGAAGGGAGCGCCGCGCCGCTTCTGCGCGCCGCCGGCGTCCACAGGAAGGTCTTCGCCTGCGGCGGCGGCGCCTCTGCGCCGCGCCCCGCGAGCGAGGCGGCGCCCCCGAGGTGCGGCCTCAGCGGCGGGCGCTGGCGACGACCACGATGGGGGCTCCAAACCAGGAAGGCCACCACGGCGAGCGCAACGTAGCAGCGACGACGAGGCTCGAGCGACAACGGCGTCAACCAAGACACCCGACGACCCAGACTCCAAACCAGGAAGGCCACCACGGCGAGCGCAACGTAGCAGCGCCGACGAGGCTCGAGCGACAACGGCGTCAACCAAGACACCCGACGACCCAGACTGCAAACCAGGAAGGCCACCACGGCGAGCGCAACGTACCAGCGCCGACGAGGCTCGAGCGACAACGGCGTCAACCAAGACACCCGACGACCCAGACTCCAAGCCAGGAAGGCCACCACGGCGAGCGCAGCTTACCAGCGCCGACGAGGCTCGAGCGACGACAACGGCGACAACCAAGAAGCCCGACGACGACGACGACGGCCGATGACGACGACCACGATGAGGACGCCAAACCAAGATCGGGGAGACGTAAGACTCGTGGACGGGGGACTCGGGTTGGCCTGACGGGGGCCATCATAAAAATGACGAGACCCTATCTGAAATTTGACGCGGGCTTCCGCTGCAGACTTCCACGAAAATGGAACCGTCAAAATCCAGACATGCTCGTCAACAAAAAAGTCGGCAAAACCGAGCTCCAGCTTGCTCGAGTCTTACGTTTCCCCGACAGGAAGGCCACCGCGCCGAGCGCAACTTGCCACCGACGACGAGGCGCGAACGACAAGGACGACAACCAAGAAACCCGACGACACCGACGACGACGATGACGGCGAGCACGGCGACCGACGTCGGCGACCACGAGCCACGAGCGAGTAGGGACGACGACGACGACGACGACGACGACGACGACGACGACGACGACGACGACGACGGCGACGACGGACGACGACGGACGACGACGACGACGACGACGACGACGGACGACGACGACGACGACGGACGACGACGACGGACGACGGACGACGACGACGACGACGACGACGACGACGACGACGACAGCGACGAGCGGGACGCCTCGGCCCGTCAGCCGCCGCGGCGGCCCGCGCCGGGCCCCGCCACGGGCGGCGGCCCACCTGCACGAGGTGCGTGCGCAGGGCCGCCGCCTCCTCGGCCTCGCCGGGAGGGAGGAGGAGGAGGAGGAGGGGGAGGAGGAGGAGGAGGAGGAGGAGGGGGAGGAGGAGGAGGAGGGAGGAGGAGGAGGAGGAGGAGTGAGGAGGAGGAGGAGGAGGAGGAGGAGGAGGAGGAGAGGAGGAGGAGGAGGAGAGGAGGAGGGGGAGGAGGAGGAGGAGGAGGAGGGGAGAGAGGAGGAGGAGGAGGAAGGAGGGGGAGGAGGAGGGAGGAGGAGGAGGAGGAGGAGGAGGAGGCAACTCGTCGGCTCTTGCGGCTCAGAGCTGAGCAACGCTAAATCGACGCTCCCAGGCCCCCTCGAGCAGTGACAAAAATCACGACGGGAGGTATTCAGCTATTTTCGGCCTCTAAGGGCCCCTACTGGGCCTCGGGAACGGCAAAAAACGACTCAGGACGAAAAGCCAAAGCCGGTCATGGGGAAAGGGTCGAGACCTCTGGGGGTCGACGCAATGAAAAAATCATGTACCTCGGGGGTCTGGGCTAATCGACGCTGAATCGACGCTCATGGACGCTAGCAGACGCTAAGTCGGCGCTCTCTCATCCACTCAAGCTGATCGACGCTACTCGACGGTAGAGGCAGAATTAACAGGGTACGCCAGGCTCCCATGGTTTTTTCTCAACACAGCGGACTCCCTAGCCCCAGGAATCGTAAAAATTGGAAGGCCCAGCCGGCAAGAACCGCACGCCAGGCTCTCACGATTTGCTACCGAAGGCCCTCTATTCGGTGGTTCAAAGATGGGGTCCAAGGGATGGGGTCCTGAGGACGACCCAGAGATCCGAGGATAGGATGTGCTTCAATCGGGCGTTTTTTCTTGGATTTCGGCCTCCGGGGCCCGCTATTGGGCCCGGGGGCGATCAAACATGGATCCGGGACGGAAAACCACTCCCGGGGAAGGGGTCGGGACCTCAGGGGCCGCGGATTGAACAAATCACATATGTGGACGCATGAAGAGGTGCCTCAAACAACGTGAATCCGCGTTTGGATCCCTTCCTATTCCCAAGCCCCTGCAAATGGGACGTTAGTAAACGAATCGGCAGCTAAGGGGCCCCTTCAAGCGAGATCGGGGTGACTGGGAGTTTACATTGCACTAGCGCGTGATAAACCGGAACGACAAAAACGTCGATTCATCATCGCAACTCTGGGCGGGCGAGTTTACTTAACACTTGTGCGCGGCAGATCTGTATCTATTTGTGAATGCACAATTGAAAACACAACCTTGGCTACCGGCCCGTTTGCTGACGCCCCGTTTGCAGCGGGTTGGTCGATTATCCTCCTTCTCCTCCTCCTCCTCCTCCTCCTCCTCCTCCTCCTCCTCCTCCTCCTCCTCTTGCTCCTGCTCCTCCTCCTCCTCCTTCTCCTCCTCCTCTTGCTCCTGCTCCTTCTCCTGCTCCTCCTCCCTGTCCCCTCCTCCCCTCTTCTCCTGCCCCTCCTCCTCCTCTCTCCTCCTCCTCCTCCTCCTCCCCTCCTCCCCTCCTCCTCCTCCTCTCCTCCCTCCTCCTCGATCCCGATCTTGTCCTCTCCTCCTCCTCCTCCTCCCCCTCCTCCTCCTCCTCCTCCTCCTCCTCCTCCCCCTCCTCCCCCTCCCCCTCAGGACCCCGCCCCTCAGGACCCCCATCTCTGCACCCCCGATCCACGGCCTCCTCGGCGGCGCAGGCCGCCTGCGGGGCCGCCGCCTCCGCGCCGGCGCCCGGGAGCACCTCGCGGAGCGGCCGCCCGGCGGCTCCGCGGCGGCTCCGCGGCGGCGGCGGCCGCGGCTGGCAGCGTCAGGCGGACGGCAAGCGACGGGCGACCGGCGACGACGTCGCCGTCGTCGCGGCGGCCGCGGCGGTCGGCGACCCCGAGATCCTGGCGGTGCGATTTTTACTCACACCGGGCGGTTTTGCTCCACTGCGGGCCCCGGGAACCTCACAGATCGATCTGGCTCGAAAAACGGCGCAGAACGATTGGGGTCCGGGGGTCTGGTCGCGATTTTCGGGGGCGCGCAAACATGGATTAGCGATCCATGGGTTTGGCTCGCGGTCGCCAAATCCAAAGATCGGGGGAGGTGCCCTCCCCAAAATGTGGCCGGTGCCGTCTCGCTCGGCGGCGGAAATCTGCGATTCCCCATGGATGCGGGACTCGTCGCCAATCCACGCCTCCTGGATCCATGCCTGCCATCGCCTGAGATTTTTCGCGGTGCTGCGATCCCTGAGCAACGGCGGATCTCGGGGGACACCGCCGAGGCGACGGCGGACGACGCACGGCCGTCGCCTCCGCGGCGCCCCCGCGCGCGGGCGCGCCGGCGGCCAGCTGGAGCACCTCCCGCGGAGGGGCCGCGCTTGAAACGGGAGGCCCCCGCGGCGCCTTAAGCCCAGACCCCCGGCGTGCGCCCCGCTTCCCGCGGCGGGGGCCCCCGGGGGGGTCTGCAGAGGTCCAGCCGGGCGCCCTGCATGTGCTGGGTGGTGGTGGTGCTGGGTGGTGTGGTGCTCAGTGGGCCCTGGAAACGACAAGGCCGTGTTTTTACCGGTTCCGTTGGGCCGCTTTTGTTGACGCTTCCGACGCCGTTTTTTTTGCCGGCTCCGTCGCCGTTGTTTGACCAGTTCCGGCTCCGGTTCCAATCCTGGGTCCGATTTTTGTTGCCGTTTCCGGTCGCCGTTTTTTTGCCGTTTCCATTTTCAAGGGGCATTGTTTTGGAAACGGTAAAATAACGGCCCTGCCGTTTCCGGTGCCCACCAAGGTGTGGTGTGCTGCTCCTTTCTAGCATAGCTTCTACTACTGTGCTGTGCCATGTCCTGCTGTGTTATCAAGCCGCTCTGTCATGAGTGCTTTGGCGGCGCGAGGCGGGACGCTCCAGGACACTCGGGGGACCAGGGCATCTGGCGGTCGCGGTATGCAGAGAGGCGCGAAGCGGGACTCTCGGGGATGCTCTGGTGACCTGGGACGAGGATCATAATATCGGGTGAGGATAAAGCTTGAGCAGGGACCGACCGACACGCCACTTCTGTAGGCCTACCACGACATGTTCTTAGTCTTAGAACCCAGCAGAAATATTCCAAGAACCAGAACATGTTCTTAGAACCTTGGGTCGACGTGTCAAAACAAACCAGTATCGGCCAGAAATGTTCTGAGAACATTTCGTGCAGACCGCAAAGGGTTCTTAGAACATTATTTGGTGGGCCTATTGGCAAGCCAGAACGCTTCGCCACTGTTCGAAAATAGGGAATCTCTGAGATCCGGCGGCTCTGGAGGATGTATCCGGCGCCGCGGCCTTCTCAGAGCGTTCTGGAAGGGTCTGAACGCTATATAGAACGGATTTATCCTCGTCCTAGCCCCGCCCGGCCTGGGGCTCGCTTTTCGACCTGAATCGTTTTCTGACGCTCCTGAGGCCCAGCGAGGGCCCCCAGAGGCCGAAAACGGCCCCCCGCAGCTCCAATTTTTGGGGAGCGTCGGATCTCTGAGAACACCCCAATTAAATTACACCAGATAGAAAAACTCAATGGATGGTTTTCGCTGAGATCGACCAGGAACCCGGGAGCCTGGGAACCGAACCCACCGAAATCGACCCGGAACCAATAAGCGGGAACCCAGGAGCCGGGAACCGAGAACCCTGGGACCCAGCCTGCCTCCAAAGTCGGCGGGAGACTTCCGCCAAATCTTTCAACTGGGCGCCGGCGGTAAACCGTCAACCTTTCTTACCGCCGGGAGACTCGTAGAGCTTCCTTTCCATATATTATGTCCAAAGAAGTAGCAGGGGACGAATATGTTTTCAGCCCGAGCGCTGATAGCAGATTGATCTCAGGCGTCTAGATACTATTGCCGCTGATAATTCCCTTCCCCTTGTTGTGCTGAACGGATCCAGCCAAGCGGCGCCTCATGATTTCCATCTCATTTATGTGCAAAAGAGCTCTCAAGCTAGGTGAAGAAATTCACCGTCATTTCGAAGAAAAATCGGTCCAATACCAATAGTTTTGCGACCTAGCTGGGGTCGCATACTGAGTTCAGACCTCTAGATGCTTCAGCCGAACGCGCCTGTGATTCTGAATCGATTATGTGTGCGTACAAGCTCTGTAGCTATGCTATAGCTCGAGTTAAGTACAGAACACCGGCCGCGCCTGTTTAGAGAACTCGAAGAATACAAATAGTTTTGCGGACCTGGCTCGAGTAGCTGACCTGGTCCAGACCTCTCGATGCAACAGACAAGCGCGCCTGATGATTCTGAATCGGTTGCTGTGAGTACCAGCTCTAAAGCGTTTCTACAGCCCGAGTTAAATACCGAAAACAGTCAGCACCTGATGACTCGAAGAATACGAATAGTTTCGCGGACCTAGCTCGTGTAGCGGACCGAGTTCAGACCTCTGGATGCAACAGACGAACGCGCATGATGATTCTGAATTGGTTACGTATGCGTATCAGCTCTGTAGCTCTCCTACAGCTCGAATTAAACACCAAAAATCAAGAGTATCCGCCAATAAAATTAGCAGACTACGAATAGTTTCGCGACCTAGCTCGAGTAGTAGACCGAGTTCAGACCCCTAGATGCTAGAGACAGACGCGCCTGATGATCATGAATCGGTTTCTGTGAATACCAGCTCTGTAGCTCTCCTACAGCCCGAGTTAATTACAGAAAACCGACAGCACCTGTCGAGATGACTCGAGTAATCAAATAGTTTCGTGGACCTAGCTCGAGTAGCATACCGAGTTCAGACCTCTAGATGCAACAGACGAACGCGCCTGATGATTCTGAATCGGTTTCTGTAAGTATCAGCTCTGTAGCTCCTTTACAGCTCGAGTTAAGTACAAAAAACCGTCAACGCGTGTCAAGATGACTCGAAACGGCCGATCCCGCCGCAACGCTTTTTGGCAGTAAAAGGTACCCGATCGAGCTGAGATCAAGATGGCGAGCGGGAATAAGATCGAATATGGTGGGAAAAAATACTAGAGCTCAAACGAATGGTTGAATTTCGAGAACAAAATTTTCAACCGACCAGCAGTCAGCAAAAGGTCCGTCGAGATTTTTCTTGCCAACTAGCTCTCCAGCGCCCCGGAATTACTCTTAAGCTTCCAGCAACTAGCTAAGGGAAGCTCTACGAGTTACTTCCGGTAGGACCCCTTTAGTGCAAGCAATGATCCCAGACCCCCGACGTCATGATTTTTTCATGACGTCGACCCCCAGAGTTCTGGACCCATTCCCCAGGACCGGTTTTTCGTCCTGAGTCGTTTTTTGACGGCCCCGAGGGCCGGTAAGGGCCCCGAGAGGCCAAAAATAATGAAGAACCTCCCGTCGTGATTTTTTCATGACTCGAGGGGGACTGGGATTGGGGCACATGACGCGCGCCTCGGCGATGGGGCGGCGATGCTCGCCTGCGCCAGCCAAGACGGCGATAGGTGACTCGCGCGGCTGGGGCGCGCCGGGGCGCTTGGGGAAGAAGCGTCGGGCTCCCGAGCGCGCGTCAGCGCTCTCGGGGGCGCTCGCGGGCGCTCTCTGGAGCGAGCGCCTGCAAGCGCCTGGAAGCCACCCTTTCGACATGGGCAAAGTGTTGCATCTGCGGCGTAGGATCGTTCACAGACCCCCTCGAGTCATGAAAAAATCACGACGGCAGGTTTTTCATCATGTTTGGACTCCCTTGCCGGCCCTCGGGACCGTCAAAAAACGACTCAGGACGAAAAACCGGTCCCAGGGAATGGGTCCAGACCGCTGGGGGTCGACGTCGTGAAAAATTCACGACGTCGTCGGGGGTCTGGCTTAGCAGACGGCGATCGGAAAGTCGGCCCATGTGCACCGCAAGGTACCCAGACCCCCGACGCCGTGATTTCTTCGCAGCGTCGACCCCGAGCTCTGGATCCCTTCCCCGGGACCGGCTTTTCAGCCCGAGTCGTTTTTGTTCACGGTCCCGGGGCCTGGCGAGGGCCCTTGGAGGCCCAAAAGAACAAACCTCCCGTCGCGATTTCTTCACGACGCGGGGCCCAAAGATCCAACGCATTGAAAAAATCAAGACAACGTTTTTTGTTATATCAACTTTCGGCTCCTATAGGGGCCCTCGCCGGGAAGCGGGACCGTCAAAAACGGTTCAGGATGAATAACTGGTCCTGGGGAATGGGTCGAGACTTCCAGGGACCGCGTACGGTGGGGGGGCATTGGATAAGAAACCCTTAGCTAAGGAATCCAGGGTCTGGAGGCCGGTGTAACTTCAATCGAACCTTGGCCATGGATATCACCGCCGCTCTCATCAGAGAGCGGCGCGGGAGCCGCTTCGAGCCGGCGTCGGCGCGGAGCTCTGCCACCGCGCGGACCGTTTCCGTTCTGAACCGTCGCGGCGCTCCGACGGCGCGGATCGCTTGATACACCCCTGTTCAGAGTCAAGAGACCTCAAGTCTGAGAGCATGGACTTCGCTCGCAGCGTTTCCTGAAGCAGTAGTCCAGGCGCAGATCTTCGAACGATCTCTACGCCAAAAGACGCTCCAAGGAAACGCCCAATGTCTGGCCCACATCCTTGCCTTTCTTCCGCAACGTCTGGAGCCCATGAAAGGAGTTGCTGCGATCCCCTCACATTTTCGGATGGGTGTACCGCATCGGCCGATTCTGGGTGCCCCAGACAAGAGCCCCCACTCTCGCAGAGGGCCCCGAAGAGGAGGAGGAGGAGGAGGAGGAGGAGGAGGAGGAGGAGGAGGAGGAGGAGGAGGAGGAGGAGGAGGAGGAGGAGGAGGAGGAGGAGGAGGAGGAGGAGGAGGAGGAGGAGGAGGAGGAGGAAGGAAGAGGAGGAGGAGGAGAAGGAGGAGGGAGGAGGAGGAAAGGAGGAGGAGGAGGAGGAGGAGGAGGAGGGAGGAGGAGGAGGAGGAAGAGGAGAAGGAGGAGGAGGAGGAGGAGGAGGAGGAGGAGGAGGAGACGCCCTCCGCGGGGGCGCTCCGTGGAGGCCCCCGACGTCTTGATTTGTTCGCAACGTCGACCCCCAGAGGTATTCCCCAGAACCGGTGTCTCCTCTTGGGTCGCTCGCTGACGGCAAGGCCCCCCGGAGTCGCTCTTCCTCCTGAGTCGGCTCCTCCTGCTCCCGGCGAGGGCCCCCGTGAGCCCGAACACGTGGCGAAACTTCGCCCGTCGTGCTTGTTCCGCAGCGGGAGGGAGGCGGTCTGGATTACCCCCCCCCCCCCCCCCCCACTCTCGCAGATCGCAGAGGCCCCCCTGACGCCCCGACGCCCAGGGGGGACACCCCCGCGCAGGCGCCCTCCGCGGAGGCCCCCCCCCCTGGAGGGAGGCGCTCCCCTCGAGGCCTCGCTCGAGCGAGGCCGACGGGGGCCTCCGCGGGCCCGCGCGGAGGGCCTGCTCGGAGGTCGAAGCGGGCTTCGGCGCACTCGAGGAGGAGGAGGAGGCGGAGGAGGAGGCGGAGGAGGAGGCGGAGGAGAGGAGGAGGAGGAGGCGGAGGAGGAGGAGGAGGACCAGGAGGAGGAGGAGGAGGAGGAGGAGGAGGAGGCGGAGGAGGAGGAGGAGGAGGAGGCGGAGGAGGCAAGCTGCTTCGGCTGAATCGAGGCCTCCCCAGCCGGGCCGGAGCAGCTCGGGTCGGAGGCTCGCACCGCGTCGCCGACACATCGGCGGCGTCGTCGGCGACGGCGGCGTGCAGGAAGGCGGGCTCCACATCGAGCCGCGTCGCCGATGCATCGGCGATGCGGCGGGCGCGCCCCCGTCCCCATCGGCTCGGACATGCGTGGGAGGCCAGGCAGGCAGCACCTCAGACGCGGAGGGACCTCGTCGCCGCGCCCCTGTCGGCCACTCCTTGGTCGCAGCAGCGAGAGCCCTCGGCGCGGCCGTCAAAAGGCAGACGCCAGATGCACGTGGCCGAATCGGGCACGGCGGGCGGCGGGAGGAAGGAGGGCGCGCCCCCGGCCCCGCGCGAGAGCGCCAAGCAGTTGGACCCGCCCGCTGGTGCTCCTGGGCCGCCGCGGGGCCGAACAGTTGGGCCCCTCGGGCCGACCTCGGAAGCCCCGCGAGCCCAGAACGTGGAAAGTCTGATGAAGCGGGTAAAACAAAATGACGTAGAAAGGCGGATAACCTCCTCCTCCTCCTCCTCCTCCTCCTCCTCCTCCTCCTCCTCCTCCTTCCCCTCCTCCCTCTCCTCCTCCTCCGCCTCCTCCTCCTCCTCCCCTCCTCCTCCTCCTCCTCCTCCTCCCCCTCCCCCCTCCTCCACCTCCTCCTCCTTCTCTCCTCCTCCCCTCATCTCCTCCTCCTCCTCCCTCCCCTCCTCCTTCCCCTCCTCCTCCTTCCCTCATCTCCTCCTCCTCCTCCTCCTCCTCCTCCTCCTCCTCCTCCTCCTGCGCCTCCTCCTCCTCTTCGAGAATAACAACAGGGCCTTCGGAGGCCCATCGGGCGGACCCCTGAGGCCCTGAAGCCAGAAATGGAGGCGTCTCGCGTCGACCCGTCGGTCGGAAGCCGTGGGCACGACGAAATGAAGTGGGTCAGGTTCGGGAGGAGCCGCCGTACCTCAGGGATGCTCGACTCATCCTCGCCAGATGTTATCCTCGCCCTGGCTGCGTCTCGGTAGGGAAGAAGACGGCGGGCCTTCTCACAGGCGCACCACTCGCCGCACCGGCACCTGGGGCCTCGCCCTCCGCGCCAGGTCCAGGGCAGGAGCGGGCGCATCGAAAAGGGTTCCGGCCCTCCCAGAGAACATAGCAAAGCACAGCAACAGCACATGGATTCTTGAGGCGGGAGGAACGGGCGCATCGAAAAGGGTCCAGGCCCTCCCAGAGAATACAGCAAAGCACAGCAACGGCACATAGATTCTTGAGCTTGGAGGGCGCTTGAAGTAGACGGAGATCCGGACACCCGAAAAGACCAGCTTGCAACGACCGACGGGTACCTTCGCCGCTCTCGGCCGAGCTTCCGCCGAGGGCAAGTCGTCGAAGTCGAGGCCCTTGCGGAAGCGCGCCGCTCGAGATGGACGCACTGGACACTGTTTTGTTTGGTGTTGTTTGCACAGACACTGTCTGTGTATGTGTTTTACCACAGTGTGTTTTGTTTTACCACTTTGTGTTTTTTACCACAGCGTCGTCGAAGCCGAGGCCCTTGTGGAAGCGCGCCGCTCGAGCTGCACGCACTGGACCCAGACCCCCGACGTCATGATTTTTTCATGACGTCGACCCCCAGAGGTCTGGACCCATTCCCCAGGACCGGTTTTTCGTCCTGAGTCGTTTTTTGATGGTCCCGAGGGCCGGTAAGGGCCCCCAGAGTCCAAAAATCATGAAAAACCTCGTCGTGATTTTTTCATGACTCGAGGGGGTCTGGGGACACCGCCTACACGCTCGGCCGAGCTTCCGCCGAGGGCGAGAGTCGTCGAAGTCCAGGCCCTTGCGGAAGCGCGAGGCCCTTCGTGCGCAGCCCCCGGGGGCCGAGGCCCAGGGCCAACTCCAAGCGCGCAGGCCCGCCCCCAGGAGCCCCCAGGACAAGAGGAGGAGGAGAAGGAGGAGGAGGAGGAGGAGGAGGAGGAGGAGGAGGAGGAGGAGGGGGAGGGGAGGAGGAGGGGAGGGGGAGGGGGAGGGGGAGGTGGAGGAGAAGAAGGAGGAGGAGGAGGAAGAGGAGCAGGGCGAGGAAAGAGAGAGGAGGAGGAGGAGGAGGAGGAGGAGGAGGAGGAGGAGGAGGAGGAGGAGGAGGAGGAGGAGCACCGCGGCCACACAGGCGGCTGCCAGCGCGAGCCGGCGCCGTCCGGCCATGGCTCGGTTCGATGGGGGCGGCCCCCGCGCCGAGCACCTCAGCGCCCGCGCATCGGCCTCTCGGTCAGTGGGCGGAAGGGGTTCCCCGCCCACGCGGGCCAGGATAGGCGTGGGCCCAAACTGGCTGCGGAGGAGCTGGAGGGAGGAGGGAGGAACATCGCGCGTGCGGCGATTGGCGCCATAATGGACGTTGAAAGTGGAGGTACGTTGGGCCCTCCTCCAGGGACGTCGTAGTGTGCCGAAGGTCCCTAGAAGAGAGTCCGGCCCCTCCGGTGGCAATCGACGCCGTCATAATGTAGGCGGGGGAAGGGAAAGGAGGGAAGGAGGGAGAGCAGGCGGGAGGAGGAGCAGCAGAAGGAGGGAAGGAGGGAGGGAAGGAGGCAGGGAGGGAAGGGGGGAGGCGGAGGAGGAGGAGGAGGAGGAGGAGGAGGAGAAGGAGGATGAGGAGGAGGAGGAGGAGGAGGAGGAGGAGAAGGAGCAGGAGGAGGAGGAGGAGGAAGAGGAGGAGGAGGATGAAGAGGCGGAGAAGGAGGCGGAGGCGGAGGCGGAGGAGGCGGCGGAGGCAGGAGGGAGGGAGGGAGGTAGGGAGGGAAGGGAAGCTCGACCACTGGAAAGCGGGCCCACCGCCTCCGCGGTGCTTTCGCATCGCGGGCCACCGGGGGACATCGAGGCGGCCGGCTGTCCGGCGCCCTGCTGGGCTGCGAGGCCCCCGCCGCTCCTCGGGCATCCTCGGCTCGGCTCTCCCTCGCTACCCTGGGCGATGCTTCGAGGAGTCTCCTCGGTCGTCCTCGAGGATCCTCCGCGGTCCTCCTCGACCCCACCCGGTTCTCCTCGAGCCTCCTCGAGGACTCCCCTCGGTCCTCCTCGATCCTCCTCGGACCTCCTCGATACTCTCCGAGAGGGTCTCCTCGATCCTCGCTCCCCCTCTCGATTCCCCTCGGTCCTCCCCGATTCCCCGCGACCCTCCTCGAGGATCCTCGATATTCCTCGACCCCCATGGGCCAGGGGCAGAGAGCCAGGCCCAAGGGCAGGTGGTCCACAGGCCCCCGGAGGCCCGAGCGCGCCCGCCTCGCACACGTCCGACGAGAAAGGGCCGGAAGGCGTCGCGCACGAGGTGGGCGGGAGGGGTCCCCGCCCTCCTCCTCCTCCTCCTCCTCCTCTTCCTCCTCCTCCTCCTCCTCCTCCTCCTCGAGGGCGGAAATCTGCGATTCCCATGGATGCGGGGCTCGTCGCTCATCCACGCCCCCTTGATCCGTGCCTGCGATCGCCTGAGATCTTTCGCGGCGCTGCGATGTCTCAGCAACGGCGGACCTCGGGGGACACCGCCGAGGGCCAGCGTGGCCTGGGCCGAGCGAGCTGCGGAGGGAGATTCGCTGTTGAGCATCAGCGCGAAGCTGTTCCGCCTGACACTCGGGTGGCGGGGTGAGGCCACCTGAGGCCCGAGCGCACCTGCCTCAACGAAGAAAAATAATAATAAGGAGAATGATAATGATAATGATAATAAGAAGAATAATAATACGAAGAGAGATAATACTAATACTAAGAATAATAATAAGAATAATAAGAATACTAATGATAGTAATAATAATCATAATAATAAAAATCGGAAGGAGAAGGAGAAGAAGAAAACTAATAAACATAAGAAGACGGAGAAGAAGAGGACCACGAACTGGGCGTACTCTTTGATGCAATTGACCACCGCTGCCAGGCTTTTGGGGCGCAGTCCAAGCAGAGCACCAAGCCGCACGTGGAGCATGATACAACGGGCCGTCCGACAGCACATGGCAACAAAGACAGGCGAGCCGCTGCTCATCGATGAGCACAAGGAACTCCAGCAAGTGAACGTCCTTCCGAGACCACGGCGAGCCCGAGCCCGCCCCCTCTGACCAGCGGCTTCCCACGATGCATCAGCCACTGTTGCGCCTGGTCCCACGAGGGCGCCAAAGTGCTCAGTGGCCGACGAAATGGTAGAAGAGGCCCGCGCAGCCCCGCCGCGAAGCCCCGACGCGATTGCATCGCCAACTAAACTGCAGAGCGGCGCCAGGCCGCACTTTGTTTTGCTGGGGGGGGGGGGGTAGGGCGCGCGCGTCGGCGGCCTGGAAGGGGGGGGGGACGAGCTCAGAGGTGTCCGATGCTTCTCAGGGCAGCGCCGACGTCGCCCGCGCGGGCCCCCAAGTCTTCCCGAGGGCCTCCAGCCGCCACCCGGGGGCGAACTAGGCCGCGGGCCAAGGGGTCCATCCCAAGAGATCAGGGGGGCCCGGAGAGAGCGCGCCCCTCTAGGAAACTCCAGAGGACACGGCGCAGAGCTTCCGAACAACATCGCCAAGGCGGAGACAACCAACAGAGTTGCACTAAGCCCGCGCCGCCATGAAGGCTCGCTGCTGGAATCCTGGAGCTGCGGGGGCCTTTCCAAAGCCAAGCAGGGCTTCTTGTGCATTTTATTTTATGGTGACACAGACTGGCGCCAGCGCGCCTGCGTCCCCTCCGAGGCCGGCCATGCGGCTCAAATGATCAAGCCTGAGCATGCGTCACGGTGCTCAGCAGCGCGCTGCAGTCGACGATTGATTATAGTGGCCATAGCTGTGACATCGCAGCGTTTCAAACTGAGAGGTCTTGGCCTGGCTGCTGGGCGCATTCTACTGGGTCGAGTTCTCGCCCGCGCTGGGGGGCGGACGCAAACAGACTGCGGATGAAGGGGGGCGGGGGGGCGCGACCTGCGCTGGCGAGAGAAGAATGACATGGGGGACTTTATAGAGAGCGGGGTGAGCAAGCCGCGCGTCGCACGGAATCCTATCGGGCCCTGGAGAGGAGGCCTTCCCCGCGCGACGAGCCCACTGGAGATCTCGGGGGCGAGGGAGAGGGGGGGCCCTCGGGGTCAGGAAAAAAGAAGTTTTTCTCAGTGAAGGCGCCTTCGGCTGGGGCGCCCTCCACTCGCCCTGTAAGCGCGGGGCCCCAGTCGCTCTTTAAGCGCGGGGCCCCAGCGCTCGCGAATGCCTTCTGGAGTGTCATGGGCCCCTCGGAGGACCGCGTCTTCGCGGCCCTCCCGGGAAGGTCGGCGACCGCGAAGAAAAAGCCGTCGGCCCAGTGGGCCCCCGCTAAGGGGTTAACTGAAACAGACCCCCCCCCCCACCCACCCACCCACCCACCGCCCGACCCGCCCCTGCCGCCCTGGGGTGGGGTGGGGGAGGGGGCAGTCAGCGCGCGCAACTGCGCGGGCTCAACGCGCGCCTTGCTGCAGGCGAGGGCCGCCGCCCAGAAGTCCCCGCGGCCCTTCGGGCAGATGGTCGGGCCCTCGACGCGGACGCGCGCGGCGCCAGCCACTGCGCGCGACGCGGGTCGATGAGCCAGCCGTCGGTCGCGGCGCCAGATCGCGCGAGCCGCCGCCCGCTGCGCCATGCACCGCGCGTCAACGTCGTCCTCTGAGCGGTCGCCGATGGGGTCTGCAGCAGAGAGCCCCATCGTGGTCTCCACCGCCAACGCCGCCTGGCGATTGGCGCATTCCCTCTGCCCAGTAGTCGACACATTGTCCGAGTCGCACGCGCTGACGAATGCCTCGGGCTGCAGATGGCAGGTGTCCGTGCCGAAGATGAATGCCAGCATCCACTGCTCGCCCTTGGTGGGCTCCGTGCTCGGCTCGGTCTTGAATTCCATCATCGCCCGTTTGCTGACTTTTCACAAGGCAATCTCCTGTGCGTCGTACCCGATGTTGACCGCGACCTTACCCTGCCTGGAGAACTGTAGCGGAGTGGTGATAATCGCGCGACCAATGACTGCCATATGGATTGCGTGCTTTCGTAACGGGTCGCCACACGTGTCGCGGTCTCTGTCAAATACTCGGACGAGTTGACCAGCTGCCTCCAGAAGGCTCGCCATGGCTAGCTCCACCTTCAGTCGACCGTCCTGCCTGCCGAGGTTGAAGCCGCAGAAGGCTCTCACGGGGACGGTGGAGTCACACATAACCACAACTAGCCACACATAGCCTGTGAAATGGGTCCAGCTGCAGTCCGCTATCCATTCGTATACAAACGCTGCTGCATGTTGCCACGCTCGGGCTGGCTCAGGTCGTAGTTGTGGACATTGCAGATCCTGACCTCGCAGGTCGGTTTAGACCAACTGATGCATGTGATCTGCCTGCGACCCTTGATGCTCCTCGAAGAGACAGTCACCGGCGCCATGCGGTCATCATGGCCTATGTTGTCAATCCCGGGCAGGAGAGTAGCCGCTTCTTCTGCTCCGTTTTTGCCCGTACCACTGCATTAGACCATGTGGTGACACGTGGGTCGATTCATCAGGCTCTGGAGCGCATGCCGTTCGCGTGAACCTCATGCAGAGCGGCCATGGCCCTTTGCTTCCTCAGTTGGAACAACTTGGTCGAGATTGCGTTTGCCAGTGTCACGACACAGAAGTCCACAAGCGCTCCACGAGACGATGCGGCAGGAGGCTATGTCTCAAAGGCGCAGCTAAGGTGCCCACCTCGGGCTCGGAGGGCGACCAGCTGGAGGTGTCCACCGCCTTCGGGAGGTTCTTGAAGCGCTTCATGAAACGATTCTTGCCGAGCTGGAGAATGGCCTTTGCCTCGAGGTTCCAAGTGGCCTTCGACGGCTGGTCAGGAACCTGCGGCGTGACATCGGCGACGAGAGTGGTACCGAATTGCACCAATCCCGTGGCTCTGCATCCATCAATCCTCACGATGTCCTTCCGTGCTCGACGCCATGAGCCTCTTCGTTTGGAGTTTCTGCGAAATCGTTTTCGGGTTTTTGCCAGGGTTCCTGTAGAGCTATTCTGTGGTGCCCCCTACGGACATTTGGGTGAACCCCGTCCAACGCCAATTCCGACACTTGACATGCTTGGCCAGCGCCATCGCTCGAGCACGACCGCCGGCAACGCCAGCGACGAAGATGTGTGGCATGTTCGCGCTCATTGATCTTGAGCCGGCTTCCCTTGATGTTGGCTGCCTCCAGCCACTCACGCAGCGCCGAAATGAGGTCCGCGGGGGCCGCCACCTTGTTACAATTGGCAACGAAGATCTGGGGGTCGGCCCGCCTTTCCCAGTCGGCGATGCGGAGAATGTCAGGATCGCCGCTGCGGCCGACGGCGCCGACCTGCGCGAGAGTCGATTGCATGTGCCGGATCTGGTCCCGCATTGTGGCGTCCTCCTGCTCGAACTTCTGAATGACAGCTGACATCTGAGAGCGCTCGGCCTGGTGTTCGTTGAGGCGCCCCATTTGTGGCTGCAGCTGCATCTGTACCTCGGAAGAGAGTGCCCCGAATGGGGTGGCGCCTCTGCCTTGCACTGGCAGCGTCCTCCATCTGCTGCCCGAAAGCCTGTTGGATCCGATCTCCCGCCGCGCCCATGTCCGAGTGCAGGAGGTACTTTAAAACAGGGCTAAGATCGGGAAAAATCGCTCCAGAGCGTTCCGGAGCGCTCTCAGAGCGTTCCAGAACGCTCTGGAGCGGCCGCGGCGCCCCATACATCCTCCAAACCCGCCGATTCTCAGAGATTTCGAGTTATCCCGATCCGATTTTGTCCCGATCTTCGCGTCGTTTTATACTCGGCACCTGGCCAGCCCCTAGCGCTCAATATGGGCCCTCGGCCTGACGGGGGTCCCGTTGCCGTGCGCGCACACGTCGCCGCTCCCGCGCGGGGCTGCACGCCGCCGGGCTGGCCCGTTCGTCGGGCATGGAGAAGGGAGGAGGAGGAGGAGGAGGAGGAGGAGGAGGAGGAGGAGGAGGAGGAGAAGGAGGAGGAGTGCCACGAAGGCTGAACAAAGCAACCGCCGAAGGGGAGGAATGGTAACGACTGCTGCTCCGCCGAGGGCTCCATGAAAAAGATCCTTGAAGTGCCGCGGACCGGCGGTGTCCTGCTGGCACGGGGGCGCGGAGCCCCCAAGGCGCAGGCATCTTGGGCCAAAATGGCGACGGGAGGAGGAAGGAGGAGGAGGAGGAGGAGGAGGAGGAGGAAAAGGAGGAGGAGGAGGAGGAGGAGGAGGAGGAGGAGGAGGAGGAGGAGGCAGGAGGGGGAGGAGGAGGAGGAGAATGACGAGCACGACGCCGCGAAGAGGACGACGAGCTCGTGCCGACGAGCACGACGGGGAGGACGACGAGGACGACGACGGGCAGCGGCGGCGGCGGCGGCGGCGACGACGACGAGGACGACGGGCGGCGGCGACGTCGAGCCCAGAAGCGTCCGGGCCCGGTGGCGGCGACGACGGCCCGTGCGCCCAGACGGGCCGCGCCTCCGCGTCGCCGGGCTGCTGCGGGAGCGCCGGGGCCTCCTCGCGCGAGGGGGGGGCGCCAGGCGCGCCGGGCGAGCGACGGCGGCCGCGGGCGAGGGGCGACCACACGGCGGGCGGCAGGCGGACGGCGGGCGAGCGGCGGGCGGCGACGGACGACTGCGACGGGCGACGACGGCGGGCGACGACGGACGACGGCGACGGACGACGGATGGCGACGGCGACGGCGGCCACGGGCGGAGCGAGATGCCTCCGGAGATCGCGGTTGCCGCGGCGTTGAGGGGGGGATCCTCCCCTCGCCCTGGTCGGGGAGAAGGAGGGGGTAGGAGGAAAGAGGAGGGAGGACTGGGCGAGGGGAGGGGGAGGAGGAAAAGCAGGAAGGAGTGGGGAGGAAGGAGAATTCTGGAATTGCGCTCTGATTCGCCGAAGAGACGGTCAGCTTAGTGCGGCACTCACTAGCTACTGGCAGAAACACGCGATATCTAGCAGCAGCGGCGCCAAGGTGTAAATGCTCCGCCCGCCCATTCATATACCAACCGGAACAGGCAGCTAAGTGGGCGGGTGCGAAGCAGGGCCCGCGGGAGCGCACGATTTTCGCACGCTCGATCTGCGTCCCCTGATTGCAAACCGCAGCCCCCCAACAAGCCTAAACCCACCCGCGGTCCCGACCATAGTAAGCTGAAAACGCTAGGCCGGAGGCGAGGGGAGGCAGATCAAAGTGGGGAGCGGGCGAGATGACCTGCGAACGGCCGAAACGGCAGCCGAGTGGGCGGGTGCGAGGCAGGGGCCAGAGGGAACGCACGATTTCGCACGCACGACCTGCTTCCCATGCCTGATCCAACGCCGTGGTACGAACCTCGCCCCCGCCAACGAACCTAAACCCTCCCTCGGGCCCGACCATAGTAAGCCGAATCGCTAGGAAGGGAAGTGGGAAAGGTGAAACGGCCTGGCGTGCCCGATGCGCGGGCGCGGGCCTGCGCGCGTGGCTGCCCGCTTCGAGAGAGGTTCGCCGCACCTGGTACGGCGCCCGAAACCGATCGAACTGGGGCGGCAGCTGGAGATCAAACGGAGAGAGAAGCACCACTAACGCAATCGAGGCCGACGAAGGCAACACCGGCATGGTCCTGAGTCATCATGCCGTGAAGCCATGCCACCAGAGAGCGAGCAGTCATATAGAAAGGTGGGTGAGAGAGGCGGTGCAGAAGACGACAGCCACTTGCCTTTCTGCACCTCCACTTGGCCGCTCAAATCATGATAAATGACGGGCAGCAACCTATCCGAATAATCCCCTGCCGAAATTAGGATCAATTTTCCAAGGGGCTACCTCAGGCATGCGAGCCTGTCTCATTTCCTGGAGTTCAGCAGCTCTTCTGACACGCGCCTGCGTGCGATTTTGCGCAATGCGCTCCAAAACTTCAAGCGCTAACGGCGCAGTGGTGGGCGGGCGGGGGGATATGTTGCCCACTGCGAGTCACCGAGAGAAGCACGTGCGCCTACATACTCCTGCTCCTCGTCAGCCTCAGGTGGGCCTGTAGGTCTAACCTCCGCCGTGTCATCTCGATGCTGCGAGGTGGAAGAGGTAGCTTGCTCTGACGTCGGGGGGCGCGTAGCGATCGGAAGCGATCGAGCTCGGGGTCGCGACGGGGCGCGTGCGCCGTGAGACCAAGTCAGGGGCCCATCCCTCGTCAGTGCCAGAATAGGGATCCCAGGAGCCCATCGCGCGCACTACCGCCCCCCCCCCCACCACCACCACGTCATCCGGACCAACGGGCACAGTGCTGGTTACATCCCCTTCCCACATGGCACTCGCTGCATCAGCGGTGGCAGCAGCGATGCGCTTGCACAGGCCAGCGGGGTGCGTTTTCTTCGTGGCTGTGCGCCGCTCCCTCCTATCCCTACCATGCCCAAGAAGCGTTTCGTGTCCGCCCCTACCTTGCGAGCATCTGCCGTTTCCAGGGGTCGCAAGCAGGGCTGCGCGCAGCCCTGGCAGTCTAAGTGCAGCGATCCTAGCGCGGGCCCTTGACGCCTGACCATGTCCACGCTGATCTGGATCGGCCGTCGAGACTGCTGGGGACGACTGGAGAGCACGCATCCGATGACAGGTAGACGAGCTGACAGCTTGTAGCCTCCATTCGCACGGCTGGGGGTGCACAAGCCAACATGACGTCCCAGCCTGCATATGTGCAGCGAACAGCTCCAGCATAGCATGGTATAGCGCACTGCCCACCCACAGCTGATCGATCTGTCGTTCAGTAACTCCCGTCTTATCCCCAAAATTGGTCATGCGTGGGAAGTGGCGGGGGGCCTTGGCCTTCTGCCCATCGAGAGGCAGACCAGGTCTCACGCGGCGGCCCGCCACCCGACACCACCGCCCGTCGCGCGAGGATGCGAGACCACCGTTCTGCAAGTGTGCCCCGATTCATGAGATCCCCATCGACTGCATGTATGGCTATACCCACGGACAGGACATATATCGCATAGTCTGAGCCGCAGTGCTCCCATTCAACCTGTGCCTGCACATCCACTGCCCTTCTCCGCCCACAAAACAAATTTAGGACAAATTATTCAACTCTTCTGACGGCTTTCGGCATGGGCTCGGCTGCAACGCCGGTGCAACGCTCTGCCAGGAATAGCCGACTGGGGTATCTCTCAGCGGTGTACTGAACAGGGTTGGCTGGCGGCGGCGGCAGAACAGCGGCATTCGCAAGCGCTTGAAGGCACGCAGCAAGCCCAGCTGGAAGAGCGGGGCCAGCGGCCGAAATCTCCAAGCGTGCGGTGCCATGGTCCATCGTAGCCATCACTGAATACGCATGCTCTGCGATGGGGCCAGCTGCACGAAATGTCGGCACAACAACATGACGGCGAGGCAACGGTGCACCTGGGATCCTGCCTGTCATGGGGGCTGAAAAATCGGGGTGTGTGATGTGATAACACGGCGCGGCACCTGAAGTAGTCGCGCTCGGTGCAGCAACTGCGGTGGTAGGATCACCCATCAATATGAATAAACACCGTGGTGGATCATGTGCTAAGTGGTCTACTAGGTGAACCCGAACACGAAATACAAATAGGCATGCATGACCATGTCCGTCTGGTGACGCCCATGCACGCAGAGCTGCGTTCTGACGGCTGGCGCGCGCCACGCGCGCACGCAATGCCCCATGCTTCCGGAAAGCACGCGCACACCATTGACACTTGACACTGTCATCGGCTGCATCATCTGCTGCACAGGTAGTTGGCCTACAGGGGTACTAGGGGCGAACTTCCTGACCAACACCATGGCCTCCACTGTGGCCGCCACAAAATTTCGAGCACGAGATTGGGCTGCAGCGTGTAACGCTATTTTGAGCATGCGTTTCCAAGCTGATTGATTTCGTAGGATGAGGGGCTCCCATTTACTGAAACCCTAGAGCGGTGGTGGGGGGAAGCACAAGCTATAGCAGTCGCACGCAACCACGAGCAATCATCCATGACCATTCCCAGCCACGACCTGGCGCGGCAACCGTTCCGAGTAGTGTCGCGCCACTCGGCCCGTCGTAAGGCAAATGCAAGTTTGGGCCCTGTGTGCAACAGTGAACCTAACAGTCGTAGACGTGCAGCTCTTCTTCGAACGTCGGGCGGGGGTCGTCTGAATCTGGCCAGCACTTGGCCGTCATTTCTGCGCGATTCGGCGTCCACAAAACGAACCTTCGCCGCAGCCCGGTGAACTTTCATGACTTCAGCGTCGGCCATTTTGGCCTCCGCCGTTGTTAGCATGGCCCAGGCGCCCGAGTTGCAAAGCCGCCCCGATAACACCAAACTGTCGGCGAACTTCATACATGTCGGATCGGCAAGCGCCTTGGCGGGGAAAGCTCTAGTGCGCAACGCCCGTAAAGTAGCTGTGGTACTGCGGGCTCGATATCGCTCGGGCCCCATGTTACCTCGGGAATCAATAGCTGAACCAAGATGTACATAGTGCTTGACAATCGGTGCCCGCACCGTCCCGAGTAGCTGTGTCTGCGCAACCGCATGCCCACCACACTCGTGCCATGTGTGCTGCTTCGCCCTCTTCGCTCCTTTTCCTCGGTAGGCCAAAAAGGGCAGCCGTTTTTGTAACGCCGAGGTTGAGTAGGTGGCCTCTGCCAGCAAACACATCGGCAACCACGGTAAGCGCGCGGAACATGGCAGGATGCAGGTCGGAAGCAGGGACAATCACAATGATGGCACCGGCATCCGCCAAGGTCACGTCCAACAACGGCGCGGTGGTAGCAGCGTCGGCATCCGTTACTATACTCTGCACGCTATTGCGCTCGTCTGTAAGCAAGTGCAGGGCTAGTCCTTCAGCGTCCAATTGAGCTCGCACAGCGTGCATGCATTCACCCGTAAGCACCTCGTACAATATATCAGCGAGAGGTTGCCCAAGGAAAACCGAACGTTGCGGCCAGGAAATCTGGTCGGAACCCTCACACAGGAACCAGGGGGCATGGTAGCATTGTGAAATCTGACCTGCTGTGTGCGCATGTAGTGTACCGTTCGCCACTCGCTGTTCAACAGTAGGTGTCAGCTCACGCATGCGCCTTGCGAGCTCATGCATGGCGCTCGCCGGTAGACCTGCCGCCTTGACAGCGCACGAAACGGCATCATCGTCGAGCGGAGATCGAAGTAGTAGTTCCCGCAAGGTAAAGTAAAAAGCGCGCACCACATCCAGGAATAACACGCCAAAAGACAAAGCACGGGCAGCCGCAACAGCTTGCACAAGACGAATAAGAACTGACGCATGGCCAGTATCTCGACCTGGTATTCCCCCAAACTGAGCACCCCCTGCTGCGGCGAGCAGTGCCTGCATCAACCGAGTCCGCAAGCATCTTCGCGATGCCTTACCAAGCTGTGAGGGCACCAGAATCGAGCTGGAGCTGACACAGGCACTGGGGTTGGCTGTGGTGGACGTCAGCAAATCACGATAGTAACCTCCCTCCCATCGAATAGGCTCAACTCGGGCGACGGCAGTCTTGAGTGTAACGGGCAGTGCAGTGCCGGGCAGTCGCGAAAGCGTGCACCAGAGCTCT